GCTTTTGTGTTCGAGATTGTGAATCTAAGCTATATCTTGCTATCAGCCTAGAACGGAAGATTGATATCACGTGCAGCTCACCTCGGAGTGTTTTGGCGAGTCTCAAAGCGGTCTAGCGCGAGTTCCCCGGTCCCTCCAAGTCCAGGAGGCCACTTGGTTACTGCTATACTTGGAACATCTAGAGCATCACCCCATTGTCAATTATTCATAGGGGGTGGCACTTGATCTCTCTCCTTCTACATTACTTGAGTTTCATTGTTCCTTGGATGATACCTTTCACACTCTATTGGTCTTGATCCTTAACAACACATACCTCCCCTGCCATCATCATGGTGCGTCTAAGGGAAATCCCAAGGACGGCCACCTTCGCCTGGTCGCCTGGGGCTGCCTCGCCATTGATCGCAACTGGAACTCGCGCTGGCGCCGTCGACGCCGACTTCTCTAATAAGACATGTCTCGAGCTGTGGGACCTTGGCCTTGACCGCGAAGATGCGAGCGAAGAGCTTCAGCCGCTAGCTAAGTTTGATACCGACTCTGGGTAAGTGTGACTGGGAATTTAAACGAAGATAAGCATGCTGACCGATTGATGTAACTAGCTTCAATGACGTGGCCTGGACCACCTCCGAAGATAACAAACGGGGCGTGATTGCGGGCGGTTTGGAGGATGGCTCGCTGGAGTTATGGGATGCTGATAAGCTGCTTGCTGGATCCAGGTTGGTTGAGCCTCAATGAACCACATGTCCGAGATATTTACTGATCGTTCAATTTCAGTGATGCGTTGATCTCAAGAACCACTAAACACAGCGGCGCCATCAAGACCCTTCAGTTCAACCCGAAACACCCGAACCTTCTGGCAACCGGTGGCGCAAAGGGAGAGGTAGGCTACGATTCAAGTATAACGGGTTGGATATATGGCTAATTGCTGGATAGCTGTTCATCTGGGATCTAAACAACATCGAGAACCCATTCCGGTTGGGCAACAACGCGGCCCGCACAGACGATATCGACTGCTTGGATTGGAACAGGAAGGTTCCTCACATTCTGGTCACCGGTAGCAGCTCCGGCTTTGTGACCGTCTGGGATGTCAAGACTAAAAAAGAGAGTCTGACACTGAACAACAAGGGCCGGAAGGCTGTCAGCGCAGTCGCATGGGACCCCGAGAGGGTACTTTGGCACCTCCTACTTGCTTATTCCAGGATTGCTGACCATTTTTACGTCTAGCCCACAAAGCTTATCACATCGTCACCCCTCGAGTCAGACCCAGTGCTTTATGTCTGGGACCTGCGCAATTCCCACGCCCCGGAGCGGGTAGGTTACTCTTTCAGAGCCCAGTTATGACTTGATGCTGATATTATATGCATAGACACTCACCGGTCATGAGTCCGGTGTGCTCTCGCTTTCTTGGTGTGAGCATGATCCAGATCTGCTCTTGTCCTCCGGCAAAGATAACCGTAATATCTGTTGGAACCCGCAAACCGGCCAAGCATACGGAGAGTTCCCCGTTGTCACGAACTGGACCTTCCAGACCCGCTGGAACCCACACAACCCGAACTTCTTCGCTACCGCGTCGTTTGATGGAAAGATTTGTATCCAGACCCTGCAGAACACAAAGACCGATAACGCCCAGGCCATCGCCGATCACAATCAAGCCTTGGACGGCGAAGACTTCTTCAACAAGGCGCAAACGCAGCCTCAAGTCTCCAAGTTCTCTCTCCCTAAGGCCCCTCGCTGGCTTGAGCGGCCATGCGGTGCTACTTTTGGTTTTGGAGGTCGTGTTGTTTCCTTCGGTCTGACCGAGAAGGGCTCTCGTACATCTAGTATCAAAATAACATCATTCGAGGTTGATGAGAGCGTTGGCAATGCCACTGAGAGCTTTGAGACTGCATTGAAAGAGGGCGATATCCGTACTCTCTGTGAGTCGCGCGCTTCAGGTGCTTCCAATGAAGCCGAGAAGGCAGACTGGAAGGTGATGCAGGCTTTGATTTCCGAAAACCCACGCAAGGGCCTGGTGGAGTACCTAGGATTCGAGGATCAGGTCGATGAGGCGGCCGATAGTCTCGCGCAGCTTGGGTTGGACAAGAAGGAAGTTAAGGACGCCAACGGCGCTGCCGCCAAACCAGCTGGGGTTAAGAAGCACAAGCGTCTGCAATCCATGTTTGATGCCAACCCCGAAGGTGACAGCTTCCTTTCCGAACTGGCTGCTTCCAAGGGTGCTCAAACCAACAACCCATTCCAAATTTTCAATGGCTCGGAAAGCCAGGCAGAACAAAAGATTACCCGGGCTTTGCTCCTTGGAGAGTTCGAGAAAGCTCTGGATGTTGCCCTCCGGGAGGATAAGATGTCTGATGCTTTTATGATTGCTATTTGCGGTGGCCCGAAGTGCATCGCAAAGGCACAGGAGTACTACTTCTCCAAGCAGGCTAACGGCCCGAACTATATGCGTCTGCTCGCGTCTATTGTGGGTAAGAATCTGTGGGATGTTGTGCATAATGCCGATTTGTCCAACTGGAAGGAAGTTATGGCTGCCTTGTGTACCTTTGCCGATGAAAAGGAATTCCCTGACCTCTGCGATGCTCTCGGTGACCGTCTGGAGGAGGAGGTCCAGAACAGCGATGATAAGAGTGCCCGCAAGGACGCTTCTTTCTGCTTCTTGGCAGGCTCGAAGCTTGAGAAGGTTGTTGCCATCTGGGTTGAGGAGCTCCGTGAAAATGAGCAGAAAGGAATTGAAAGTGACACTGGCAATTCATCCTTCTCTATTCACGTCCGCGCTTTGCAGGGCCTGATCGAGAAGGTTACCATCTTCCGCCAAGTCACCAAGTTCCAGGATACGGAGCGGAACAAGGACTCGGATTGGCGCTTGAGCGTCTTGTACGACAAATACGTTGAATATGCCGATGTTGTCGCGACCCATGGACGCCTGGAAATTGCTCAGAAGTACCTCGATCTTGTCCCTGAGAAGCACCCCGAAGCCGAGGTGGCGCGCAACCGCATCAAGCTTGCCACGAGACAAGCACCTCAGAAGGCTCAGGCTGCTGTCGGAGCCAAATCTGCCTTCAAGCCTCTCCCGCAACAGCCCAATATGTACCAGCCGCAGCAAAGTTACAGCCCTGCTGCTACTCCAACACCGGTTGCTCCTAACATGTATGCGCCTCCCGCGCCTGCTGCTCCCCAACAGGCCAACCCATATGGCCCTCAGACGACCTCGCCAGCTCAGCCTGCCAACCCCTATGCTGCTATGTCGACCGGAGGTGCTAGTGCCTACGGACCGGGAGCTGGGTACCAGCCAACTCAGGGAATGAGGCCTACCGGTTATAACCCACCATCTGCATTCGGTGGGCAGCAGCCCACAGGTGCTGGTGTCCCTCCCCCTCCTCGTGCGTCATCTAACCAGTCGCCGGCCAACACAATCACCACATACACCACGGCCACTGGCCTTCCTGCATGGAACGATTTGCCAGAAGGCTTTGCGAAGGCTCCCACGCCCCGCCGTGGAACGCCTGCCGCAGCCTCTGCACCCATTGCCTCTCCTTTCCCCAACCAGTCACCCAACCTGACTCAGGGACCTCCCCCGGTTGGTGCTCCGCGCGCACCATCCGTGCCTCCCCCACCAAAGGTGGGCTCGGTTCCTCCGCCGCCGCGTATGATGTCGCCGCTATCTGGTGGCCAAGGTGTTTCTAGCATCCCTGGGCCTTCCCCGCCGCCCCCTGCCAACCCGTATGCTTCTCTCCCTCAGTCACCGCCGTTGAACCAGGGATCAACCATGGCTCCCCCCGCGTCGATCCCCCGTGGAGCGTCGCCCTACAACGCGCCTCCTAGTATGCCACCCCCAACCAACCGGTATGCACCAAGCCCGGCTGCCCAGGCTGCAAACCCCCAAATGCAGGCTCGTGGCTCGGTGGCTCCGCCCCCCCAGGCTGCTGCCTCGCCATACGCCCCACAAGCAGTATCACAACCACCCGCAGCAAACCCATATGGGCCCACGACACCTATTGCTACACAGCCTCCGCCTATGGCCCAGGGCATCCCACCGCCACCTCAGGGATCTCGACCTCCCACAGCCCAGTCGCAGAGGCCAACTCCCCCGGCTCCCAAGTATCGTGAGTAATTACAGTTAGGAATAATTGATTCCAGCCAATTGACCTTTGTTACAGCCCCTGGTGACCGTTCACACATTCCTGCAAGCGCACAGCCTGTATACGAGATTTTATCGGCAGATATGCAGCGTGTCAAGACCCGGGCCCCTGCGGCATTCAAGGCCCAGGTTGATGACGCCGAGCGCCGTTTGAACATCCTTTTTGATCACCTCAACAACGAGGATTTGCTCAAGCCTAACACCGTTGAGGACATGGCGAACTTGGCCCGCGCAATCCAGCAGCGTGACTTCAATGCCGCCCTCGCCATTCACGTTGATATTATGACCAACCGAACTGACGAATGTGGCAACTGGATGGTGAGTGAACCTTGTTCTTATAAGTTTAGGAACAGTCGCTAACAAGTATACAGGTCGGTGTGAAGCGACTGATTAGCATGAGCCGCGCTACCCCGTAAATGACACCCTTGTACCTTGCCGAGTGAAGGGAAGGCTAGAGGCTTGGTAAAACTTATGTATTTCTGGCCTTGTTTCCTCTATTCAGCGTTTCTCTAAATTTCTCATTTTCCTTGTCCATTTTACAATTAATGTCTTGCGTATTTTCTTCCGTTTTTCTTCTAGCTTGAGGACATGAGTCCGATCATGAGCAAAGCGAAACTTTTCCAACACTCTGCAAGTGTGGTTGATCGTATTAACTGCATGATGCCTTTTTATTTAGATTGCTAGATTGACATAAATCAAATGAGGATATGAGTTTCATTTTACAGGCGAACAAAATATATATATATATAATTTTGCGGATGCAACCAAACAAATGAAGATATAAGCTCATATAAACCTAGGTCAACACCTATGGAATCTGTCGCATTCTATTTACATTCATACAATCACACCAAAATCCACGATCCCATCAACGACCACCGACAGGAAGACCACCAAGTCGTCCACCCCGACTAGCAGGGAAGTTACGCGCACTCAAAAGCGCACCCTTCACACCGCGAATATCAGCCCTAAATCCAGCAATAGCCTCATCCTCCGCCTTCCGCAGACCAGAGCTATCACTCGAGGCCGAGTTATTAGAATTCCAGACCCCATACGACGACCCAGAAGAGTATGTAGGACCACTGTAGATCAACCCATCACAATAATGATGCAGCTCCGTGAGACGCGTACGCATAGAGTCATCTAGCGTACTCGCATCCTTCTCCGAGTCGACGATCTCGCGCAGTTTGGAGGTGATAGACTCAACACGGCTGATGTGGTTATTAACCGCCGTCGACGGAGAGATGGCTGCCGGGTCTGCCGAGTTGACGGCGCCGGTAGTGCTGGGAGCTGGAGTCAGCTCTGGACTCGTCTGCGTTGCGACATCCCGGTGGAACAGCTCGGTTGGATCTGAGGTGATTGACGAGGCATCGTCTTCTTCGTCGTTGTAGGGCTTGAGCTTGCGCGCTGTTAACTCTGCCGGGACAACAGACACGGTCTTCTCCAGCTTTTCGTTTAGCTTTTGCAGGTTTGCTTCTGCTGTGCTGGCGAGCTCGTGTCGTGCGCTCGTTAGGTTCGCTAGCATGGGTTTCACTATGTACTCGCTTGCTCCGTAGAGACTTGCTCCTAGGCCTGCGGCGCCGTATAGTGTGTAAAGAAGGCTGCGCATTGTCACGAGGGGCGGCGGCTTGGAGGACTCAAAGAGGAATTCGGGGTAGGTGATTATTGGGGGGACGTCGCGGGGGGCGGGAGTCGGGGCTGGTGCTGGGTGCGATTGAGGCATGGCGTTGGAAGGTGGCGAGGAGCTTGTACGGGGAGAAGGGGTTGCTTCGGATTGAGTAGGTGAGGGAGATGGTGTCGCTTCCTGTGTCTTATCCTCGGCTGTGGTTGAGCTGCTCGCCTCTGCATTGCGGGAAACGCCGAGGACCTGCTCGATATCCTCTGAGGTCAGGCCTTTTGACTCGAGGAATGTGACTTTGCGATCTGTTGGTGCATCGCGGATTGACTCGTCTTCTAGGAATTTGGAGGCCTGGTCTAGGAGAGCTTGTCGGGATGTGGAGGCTGTAGTTGCGGGCGCATCGTCGGAGGTCGATGGCGACTCCTCGGCTGTCTTATTAGGTCTCTGCCATGAGGGAATAGATGTTGATTTGGATGTGTCGTCAGGCATGATGAGGTATCTGAAATACTTGCCAGAGATATGAGAAAGCAAAGGCGTTGGAAGGGAGTAAAGAGAAGAGGGAACCTTCCCCGGACTTGGGACTTGGGGCCATGTGAGCCCGACCTCGGCTGTTACGCTTGCTACACCTGAGGCATCAATGTATTCTGAGACCAAATAGATCAAACGAATATGTGTTCTTATTGTTAGTACGATATGAAACAATTGATTCAAGACAAATCTAAACATAAATTGTATTCCTTGTATTCATTGTATTTACGTATATCTGAATATCTTACAAAGATACCACCGTTCTATACCGAAAATAGCCTGTGAGACGTTTGAATCCATACCACCTCTAGCTATTATTGAAGGCTATTGAGTATTATACATCAATTATTTTCTATATTCTATTTAAAGAGATCAATTGAATATTGAAAGATCCCCATAGTTCATATGTTGTAATCGATACCGCCCGGCAGAATGGATCGTGCAGTACTTCATTCGTTCATTCAGCGTCAGCGACTGGCCACTTGAAGAATCCGAAACCTTAGAGAAAAGTACTTGTGAGTATGGCGTTTCCACGGCGTTTCCCCTGTCTCGTTTTGTGTTCCTTCCTGCCTGGCCCCGGTGGTGTTAGACTCCCCTAGGGGAGGAACACCTCCCCTGTAACCAAATGCGCTTTGTTCGCACTGGAAAAAACTCCCCTATAGAAAAGCAAATCTGTATCTTCCCGGTTTGCAACTCCTGATGAGAGTGATTGGATATTCCTTTCTTGTCCTCTTCAGACTTCCCCTCTCCCCCCAAAAGGATTAATGGCTTAGTTCATACTGCCACACACTTGCCTATTGACCTTCCCTGTCCCGCTTCTTTTTACTGTTCTGGCTTTTGCATTTTCTCTTTTCTCAAGACTTCTGTCACAATTGATAAAGCCACCATGTCGCTCCGTCGATCTCTTCGATCGCGCAAGCCACGAGATGACACCCCAGAACCAGATGCTAACATGACCACCAGGTCTACGAGACAAACTCGTGCATCTACTTCTGCATCTGCTTTGGTCTCAGTCTCTCGATCAGAATTGAATACAGGAGATCGAAAGAGATCACTCCGTCTTACTGTCAAAATGCCCTCCAGCAAATTGCGGGAAGCCACGGGTGCTGGTCGTGCTGCTGGGCGGCGCTCAGTCAATGTGTTCCGGGAAGATCCCATTGTTTCGGGACCCCGCTCCAGTCGGAACCGAAAGAAGATTGTAGAAGTTGCTACAAGTGACGAGGAAGAAATCGACGATCAAGAAGAGGATGAAGTCGACGATGAAGATGCACCTGGTGATGACGACGATGATGAAGATGCCGATGCCGATGCCGATGCTGATGCCGATGCTGATGCTGACGCTGATGGTGACATCGATATGGATGACATCCCACTTCAGCCGCCTACCAGGCGCGGTAAGATCAGTCCTCCGTCTCGCGCCAAGCCTCCCAAGAGTGTGGAGGCCAAGGAGATGGAGATGGAAGAAGACGACGACGACGATGAGGACGAAGAAGAAGAGCCTATCTCCGATACGGACGAAGATGCCGAAGCGGAGGCTGAAGATCAGGATGAAATTGCAGTTCCAGACGTCAACGTTGATGATCTAGATGATCTTGACGAAGAGGATGAAATAGACGACATGGACAGTGATGCCCTTGCTATGCAAAGTGGCAAGACCACCAAGCGCCAGCGAGGAAATCTGGGCAATGATTTCTTGCAGCTTCCCATGGGTGAGAAACCTACAGCCGATTAACAATCATCGAAACCGAAGCTAACAAAATACAAAAAGAGCCCCAAGTCAAGAAGCATTTGACCGCCGAGGAGCGCCAGATGCGTCGTGCGGAGATGGCGCGGCGAAGGAAGAACCTGAGCGAGAAGCGGAACGAAGAAGAAAAGGTATGCGCAGAAAGTCACTTAAAACATACATTGGAGCGCGGCCGCTAACCCTGAACAACAGATGGACACAATTAATCGACTGCTAAAGAAGCAGGCCCCCAAGCGGCGTGGTCGACAGGCAGCTGAGGGCGCGGATGTCACACCCGGCGGCCAAGAAGGCGCCGAGACTGAGAAAGCTGACCCTACCCTGGTGCGGTGGACCAGTGGTCCAAACGGCTGTAAAGTCAGCGTGCCAGAAGAATGGCTGGGTACACCTGCTGGGCGTGTCTTCGGCGCCCCTGCAGTTCACACGGGAAAAATGGTTGAAGAGGTTTGATTACATGCAGAAACTACAATGGGTTGGCGCTTATGGAAGGATTTGCTGTATTCGGGAATGGACGACATCATTTGCAAGGGACTAGGGTTGATTTCTGCGTGTGCTGCGGCGTTAAAAACGCGCCTATTCCAAATGTCTACGTTTAAATGCAACAAATTGATTGTTTCAAATGTTTCCTGATATGTGCACATGGATATGCCGATAGAACCGGCTTTTATATTCAATTAGTCGGGAACAACCACTGGTACGCAAGCTAGCTGGTTCCAGGTCACCATTTAGTACTCTACCCACTACTTCGGAACTGGCCGATGCGCCAATTCCATATATACAGCAGGCTCTAGGGCCGTCGTAAGAGTTGACAAGTGTGGCACAATGAGATATGTGGTGCCGTGTGCGCTGGAGCCTCGGAGCGCGGGGAAGAGCACAGTTTCCAATAGAGCATAGTGCGCCAATAGAGCATAGTGCGCAGAGAACAGGCTACTGGCATAATTATGCTTGGTGGTACTCAGGCCATTCAGTGTTCAGAATGCCACTTCAAGGGGAACGCTGGTCATCGTCATTGAGTCGTTGACTTGGGATCTTGCTGAACGTCGGCTTTGGTGGGAGCATTGGCGTCCTGCTTCAGAGTAGCAGGATCAGACGAGGCCTTCTGGGCATGCTCTTTCTGTTGTTGAAGTTGCTGGAATGTCGGTTGGAAGGTATAGTAGCCTGGAGCAGATTGAAAAAATCAAGATTAGGGATTGATACTAGATACGAGCTATTCTTGCTGTAGAGTTGATTTACCTGTAAAGACGCCCACGCCAATAGCGCAAAGGGCAGGGAAGAAATTGCGACTCATTTTGAAGGGAGTGAGGTAGACAGCGAGGTCGAGATGTAGTTGGCGGTTGGAGGTTGCGGAGGTGATGCGGCCCCGGGGGAAATCGGTTATCAGTTGGCTGATTAGCAGCCGGCGCGTCTGCTAAATTGCTCCGTTTGGCACGCGTCAGAATCAAATTCCCTGCATTCAGCCAGTTTGAATAGTTGTTCGACGTTTTATCTGCTTGTATTTCGCGAATTTTAACCCGAAGATTATTTTGCTCACGTTTCTGTCACCCCGAGTCCACCCAATGACTGTTTAGAGACATGGGGGATCCCCGCCAAGGATGCAAATGGAATCATGGCGACAACGAGGATATGTCCCCGACTCGGACGAGGAAGACGGCTTCGATTCTCTAGATACGAAGAAGAGCAATGAGGAAAATAGCCCTGCCGTCGAAAATCTAGAATATATCGACAACCCTTCATCGTCGCCGAAGGAAGGGACGAGTGCAACGAAGGAACAACGCGAGTATCGGGCTGAGAATGGCTCCATCACACTCTCAGATACAGAGGAAGCTGTTAATCGGGACACGAATCGAAGTCCTCACTTGGAAAATGTCCTGCATGATGAAACGACCCCAAAACAAAGAAGAGGACGCAAGACTTATGGAGTTCGATCATCGACTACGAAATCAACGAATCGCGAGCTGCGAAGTAGCGATACCCCCGCAAAGAATACATACAGCATTTACGATTTTCCAACGTCATCTCAGGAACATGACAGGCCTCAATCAAAACCCCCGAGCCGCGAGTCTACGCCGAAACCCTTGAAGACCGCAGAGCCCTTACAATCACAAGATATAGTAGAGCCACACACCTCAAAGGCTGACACACAGGATGAGATTTCAAGCACTCGGAGCTCCTCACCTGATGAATTGGCATTGATCCCTCAGGCTACTCGGAAGAAAAAGCCTGTAGGCAAGCATGTCCAGCCAATAGAGCCGCCACCGCTACCACCACCACAGGAGGTTTCGGAAGATGACTCCCCGTTATCTTCTGTACCGTCATCCTTTGGCTCTCCACCGGCCGAAGGTTCTACAGAAGTACAGGCCGATGTTGTGATGGAGGCAGAACCAGAAAGACCGGCGGATGGGCAGGCAAATCTCCGGAAAGCAGTGTTCGTTGAACTAGACGCTAACCCGGACGATGTATTACCTCACCTTGATATTCCCGAAGATGTGTTGCGAGAATTACCGCATGCTACACAAAGAAAATTCCGAAAGCGCAACGCCATCCAAATGCATCCGTACCATCTTGAACAGCTCAAGTTTGCCCAGCAACTGCAAGCGCGGGGCGTCAAGCCTTTTGGTAGGCCTCCGCAGGAAAGACAGCATCAGCATGTCCCCACTGATGAAAGTCAAGGGCAAGATTCATACGACCCCGATGCACCTCCGTCAAGTCCTCCCCTAGAAGAGTATCTTCCGCCAATAAGACATGAAAGACATCGTGGCCCACAATCTGCGGCGCAGGGCCGGCAACACAACAATCCCGAGCATCCTCGGCCATCGCAAGGTCATCTGGCAAAGCGACAGAAGACTTCTAATTCTGGAACTCCTAAAGAACGTCGCAATTTACACAAACCGTCCAAACCTCGCGGTATCCGAGACAACAATACTGCTACTGGGAATCAAAATGGTATCTCCATATATGAGCTATCGTCTAGCCCTCCACACGCAGGCCGTTTATCTTCCACCTCGAGAACACCTCGTGCCTCAGAAGAAGGGTTCCGGTTTCCTCGTGGGTGGTCGCCGCCGGGAGAATTTGCGAAATCCGGAGCACAGGAAACAGAAGAAGCCGGCGAAGTCCAATTACTTGGTGCAGGTACAGATGATGATGAGGAAATACAGTCCATCTCGTCCAACAGTCAGAGTGACGAAGAAGAAACCAAAACAGATATCGAAGAACGTGAAATTCGACGGTTCCAGCGAATGATCCGAGGCGCGCTCCCTGCGTCACATGCTCGACTGAATCAGAAGGAAATTGCAGATAAACAAAAAGCCGCGCAATTAGATCGCCATGCTTCCTTGCAACGACCCGATGGAAAGGGTGTTGCGCGAAAGCTCATTCGAAAGGGTGATCGCTCAAGGCAACTAGGAACGCAACAATCAAGAGGCTTGTTTGATCTTGGAGATTCTGACTCGCAAGATGAGGACAACCGCAATGATGCCGCAGGACATGCCTCCATAGCCAATGACTCTCGCGAGAGGTTGACTGACACCCTTGGTCTTGAAGACCCCTTCGCGCTGGAAGAGGGTGATATCTCCGAGGATAATCGCATCGACTACATGTTTGCACCTGCGGGGCGCAATCCAACAGGCCCTCGGCACAAAACAAACAGTTTAAAAAGGCCAAAGTCGAAGCAAAGTTTGCTCAATGGGGAGAGAAAGCCGAAGAGACCCCGACAAACCCGAATGACCGATGCCACCTATGGAGCACGAAGGATGAAGAAATCCTCAACTGCCCGACGACCAAGAATAGGTATCTTGGATGCGCCAGATGTTGCCACGAAGCCTCGCGATGAGCAATCGCGACTGCTCAGGGTCGCGACAAGACGACCACGATCACGTAAAGACGGAGGCAGGCAGAGCCCTACTCAGAAGTTCGTGAAACTGGCCTCCAGGGAAGACACAGTAGATGCAAATGAGTCTTTGCGAGATTGGAAAAGGGGGGCTATTCGGCAGGCGAAGATTAGCCCACCCCGTCCTAGACCTCGCCAACACCGGCATTGGACAACAAACCTTTCGATTCTCAGTGCCCGAGCAAATTCCAACACTAAAATTGGCTGGATACCGAACCAATTCCTTGATGCAGAGGCTGACGCTGATGTTTCGAACACCGACACAGTGGAAGCAGAACAGGCACAGGCACCACCTGAATCTAGCGCAGTACCAGTCCCGCCAAACCAAGTTCCAGTGGCCGTGTCTTCATCCCGTCAAAAACCAGAGCAGCACGGTCACGCATGGGTTGTTCCTAGAAATGTTGCCATAACATCTTTGAAGAGGAACACCATTAGGCCAGCGGCAACTAGTTTGGCAGGCCCTGGTAAAAGCCAAAACGTGGTTCCGGCCATGTTCAATCAGTCATTGTCTGTTCTTAACCGACACTATAAGAACCAGCGAACATCTAAATCTTACAAGCCCAGCTTGACCTTGGATCGATACGTCTCTGACAGTGGATCATTGAGTACCGGAGGCAATTCTTCGCCCATGAATACTTCTATTTCTGCTGCTGCTGTTGCCGCCTCTGCCAAAGCACGAACTAAAACGCCAACCCAAAAGGCCCCTGCATCTCGACGGCGGTTGAAGAAGAATCTACCCAACCGAATCAACCTTGATGCTGATGAGTTCCGTCAGAATCCAGATCCTGATACCATAGTCTCCGATGAATCGGAACATCTTACCATAACGCACGTTGGACATGCACGTCCCTCGTCTTTTAGCGTTGGCGGGCTCTTCAACTGGCAACGTTTCTATCCGGTCGACTTTGGAGTCCCATCCCTACGTGGCAACACATTCTTCCATGAGAGCACATTCATAGGAAGCGGGGAGTTTTCTCGTTCGTTGCGAATCACAGAGCGGGACTTCGATGGGGACGCCACTTCATTCTCATTCCAGCTCAGAGACGAGACATTCCAATGGGGTCGTTGGGATGATACAGTATCATCGGGGATCGGGCAGGTCTTCGACGTGATAATCGATAATGTTGAGCGAAGTGCCGTCACTTCCCCAGACACAGGACCTACGGCTGCTCTAGGCGTTGCATCGAGGCTATACAGGTTGTTAGTTAAATACATCACAGAAAACCTGGTTTTCATCGACCCGGTTGATCGCACAGGGTTCGTCACTAGAGCAATGGGGCTGGTCTCCCAGGTCAGAGACCCATTGGCTGCGTTTCTGACTAGCGACGAATACAACAAGTGCGGCCTCGTCAAGATTGCTTGTTTCAACATGATTTTCTCCAACCAGATCTATCAGGTTGCTTCTCATCGGCTCGTCAGCCCTGCCCTTGCGACTGAGGCTTTGGATCTTGTCAAAATATCCGCTAAAGATGTTGCAGGGTTGATCACGTCCAAAGTTGGTTCTTCTGAGTTTAAAGCGTTGTACAAGGAAAACGAGTCTGAACGCCGCGAGTCGGGGATTCGTGATGAGTATCCATCGGTGGAGGCTTATGTCGTCACCAAACACCTTCTACGCAGCTCAGGCACCTATAAGGGCTGCTTTGAAGATCTTCAGCTTGAAACTTTCAACACTGGAATTATTCGCAATGAAAGGGATGTGGACAGCCTGGAGGCTGGATGGCGTGGCATATTCACAGTCTTACCCTTTAACGAAATAGATCCGCTTGGGATTGCGCGCCCTGGCTATCAGTTGACAGCTGCCAATGACAATTGGAAATTAGCCAAGAGGCTTCTCGCCCCAGCCTTGGATCATTTCGAGACCAACTCCAACTCGCAACCGATTTCATACAACAGCTACTGCCGAACCTTGTTCCTCAGATGTCATCGGCTTATCAATTCCTGGGGTTGGAGAGAATGCAAACCTATACTGGACACGCTATTCGACTTTTTCGCCAAGAACACCCTTCATAACCTAAAACTTGAGGAAGCTCGTGGCTCACCTTCATTTCTCGATGAACTTGATAACAATCCTTCTCTGGATGCCCGAGTTGGGGAGCCTTGCTTCCACACATTTCTCAAGATCGTAGCAAGTGGTCTCCGTTTCTTGGCGAAGAGGTATGACAAGAAAAAGATTCGAAACTTTGCCTGGCGTCTGCTGCCCAATCATGGTCGTGTATACCCGAAAGAGCAGCCATTGCAACATGAGGACCTCGATGCACTAAGAAATCACCACGATCTTCTCAGCACCCTGTACTGGGCTGTTCCTGATGGATGTCGCCCTAGGTTAGAAACGATACGCAATCTAGTCCATCCTGCCACTTCACATCGCGAAGCGTGCAGCATCAATTTGCGCTCATGGTCGCGGCTTGTTCGATTCAAGCTTTCTACGGGTGAAGATGTCGCGGGGCTTGATCCGTTTGGAGACTGGTATGGCTATTTCGTTACGGAGCTACAGCAGCAGCATTCATATGCCCGCAAAGAGATTGAGGCTCAAAACACAGGCGACAACCGGGTATCTCAACAGCTTGTCGAACGCACAATCTCCCAGAACCAGCGGCAGATCGAGACCTTGTTGAGCAATGCGCTTAGCGGGCTGCGGATTGCTGTCCAGCTAGCTCCGAAACTGGAGCATGCACATAGGCTTGTTCTGAGAACTCCTTTTGAGTCTATCCTTGCGCTTTTCAACCCCAAGCTCCCGCGCGTGAATGTCGTTGTGTCCGAGGCACTGCAGGTTCTGGTAGCGTACACCCAGAAAGATGTTCCAACTATATCCACATTGGATGCTCCTGCGGCAGTGGCTATTGATGAGGACAGTCAGGAGTTCGGTGACTGGGATGCCATTCAGGCTGTTTGGGACCAGCAAAGTTCTCCTAGTGAAGGCGTTGAACATGTAGAGAAGGCTTTCCATCCCATTGTCTCTCGTCTCGTTTCGAACTGCTTTGGCGAGGACCACTGTCCCGAGGATGCGGTTCTTCTCAGCGTGATAGAATGCTGGACCTCAATCGCCCAGGTCCTCGTTCGCCATAGCATCCGAAATTGGGACAATTATCTGAGCGAGTTCGGCGATGATTCCTGGACGCGGCTTCGACAAACAGTTCAGACAAGAAAGTTTGCACCGCTGTTCCTCGCGGCATGCATTGAAAAGGACGCACAGATTGTTTCTGATTGCCGAATCCAAGTTATGAGTATGTGGCTGTCGTCGTTGGTCGAGCGCTCCTCAATGTTGAAGTTTCAACATCGTCTCACGGAGGCGCTTCTGAACGGGAGTCCCACAGATCCCTTGCTTGCCAACCTTCCGTTTTCTAAGGATAAGAAGATTGACCGTTATACGATCACACTGGAAGAAATCGCCTCTCGGCGACTATCCCTCCTCTCGAGTCTATCGTCTAATATGCGTGAGCAGCTCCAGGGTATGGAACTTTCTGGCGATCGGAACTTCTCTGTTACAAAACAAGAGTATTCCGAGATGCTCCAGCGGGCGATGACTTCCATGAAATACAACTACCAAGAGCTAGGTAATGGAACAGTGCAGGCTGCTCAAGGAGAATATGTCGAGTTCGTTCAACGCGTCATCGGTTTCTTTCAGCAACATACCAGCGACATCAAACCCATCGACCCCTTCTTCACGGACCCTGCCTCGTTCCCTTTGCCGTCTACTGACCCACGCTACATTGTCGCGAAGCTCAAACGCTACGAGTCCAAGTTATCTTCCAGCCAAGAAATACAGACCTTGACCGGGTTCGTCCAGAGCATTTCTGAGCGCGCTGCCATTGACAGCCAACAGAGCTATCTGGTTGATCAGTTGCATACATCTATGAAGAATACCTACGAAGCTGGAGACTACGGCAAACCCTCTCTCCGCGCCGTTTTCTTGCAATGCATCTTTCCAGCGTATCTCGAAGCGACGCTTTCCAACCGAGCCGCATGGATCCTCAGCCGTCCCATAATCCAGACCATCACGCTGGAGTTTGAGAACCTGCTGTGTAACATAGACACTCTGGACGAAACCTGCGTGTCTTCTGTCATCGATATGATTGATGTTGTATGCCGAGTCTCGTGTCAAGCACTGAGTGTGGTCGCTTTCCGTCGCCATCGTCTGCAAAGTCCTACAACTCTATTCATGCTTGCCGCCTTCCTAAACATGATCTCTTCAGCCCTGCCAGTGGTAGATTACATCGATCGAGCCACCGGTGTGGGGGGAGTGATTATCACGCACGTCGAATGGATCCGCGACTTCGCCGAAGCCGTGAGCAAATGTCTACAAAGCATGGATCTAGACATAGACTCGCCCTCGAGCAGTGCCCATATCACATTCCCTGCGGTGCCGCCGTCCTCGGATACCAGGAAAACAGAGCTCTTTGGCACGGCTAACAATCTCGCCTCGAATGACCTCCAGCTCTATCTTAGAAAATGGTCTTGTCATCAGGACAAGTACTACTTTACTCGTCCTGGTCATGAGTCACAGGAGGTCACAATCGAGCCTGAGATTGCTGTTCTCATGGCTAGTCAGAGTGAAGCGCAGAAGATTTTCGAGGATGCGGCGAGTGGGTTCTTTGATCGTGCAAGGGCTCTAGAGTTGATCTCTGAATTGTGAGATCATCCTTTTTGGTCTTTATATATAGAGAGTTACTGGGAGCATTTTTAACGTGTTACGAATATAGAAGAAATCAATAATGTTATCTTGTGCCATATGCTTTTTCATGGCATCGTTCCATCATATGATATGGACTATCTACTCTTAATGGTTTGATATGCCCTCACTGTTAGAATCTAGGGTGTGTCTGTTCTCTTCAATTGAACATGCAAAGAAGCAGAGAACCAAGCCATCATGCAATGCATTATGCCATCGGGTCCAATGCAAACACAGAAACAACTAGGACTGGTCCTATACTGACTGGCCTGGATATGCAGCTCACCACAGAATACAATATCCGTTGCGCCAGCCCCTTACTTGTCATATATTATTCCCCCGAGACGCGTTTGCCATGTTTTGATAATCCCAAGCACTTTTCCGAACACAATTTCCCCTGTGATAGTTTATTTATTTCAAAATTCTGTCATGCGTAGTCATGCATTAATGCTCCGGCCATCGAAAATACCTTGAATAGATCGGTGTTGATGAGTCTCGAGTTGTACCAATCACCTTCATATGCTTAGCACATTCATTTTCCTCGATCAGCTGGTATATAAAGCCTTTTGAAGATAGTGTTTGTGGTACTGTAGCATTTCATGTCCATTTCCGCGGGCAATACCATGTGCTCTAGATAGAGAAGTTAGAATGGAAATCTGCGAATACTACATAATAATCTCACGTGGGAAATGTCGGGTATTACGGAGAAAAAAGAAACAAGTTTTATACTCGCCGTTGAAGTTCTTGTCTAAGGCTTATAGTGGTATTTCAGTTGTATTTTCGAGGTTAGTGCATTCTTGATATCAAGGGTGAAATTGGCTATATATTCTGTTGGAATTTGGAAATTCACTTCAAAGTAATCTTATAAATTTTAACAATGATTTGGAAATCTCTCTTTGGTATTGCCATATTGGTACATATACTCCCAGCATTAGCTGTCCCAACTGTCACGGAGTTGACTAGTGACTCGCCAGGCAAATATGTCTTTGCCCACTTCATGGTCAGCATACTAGCACCTAAGTACATTCCACTCCCATTAACATCCCATATATCTAGGTCGGTATAGTAAAAGACTACAAGCTAGCAGACTGGAAAGAAGACATGGCCGCAGCCCAATCCATCGGCATCGATGCCTTTGCCCTAAACTGCGCCAGTATAGACAGCTACACACCAACCCAGCTAGCCCTAGCCTACGAAGCAGCCCAACAAGTCAACTTCAAAGTATTCATCTCCTTCGACTTCGCCTACTGGACCAACGGAGACTCAGCAAAGATCACAGAATACATGAAACAATATGCAGGCCATCCAGCGCAGATGCAATACAAGGGAGCCGCGATAGTAAGTACTTTTGTCGGCGATAGTTTCAATTGGGATGCCGTGAAACAAGGCACTCCGCATCCCATTTACGCCTTGCCGAATCTCCAAGATCCAGCTGAGGCTACCACTGGCCCTGCTAAAAGTGCTGACGGAGCATTCTCGTGGTTGGCTTGGCCTACCGATGGGGGAAATAGTATCATCCCAGGGCCGATGACTACGGTTTGGGATGATAGATTTGTTCATTTCCTTGCTGGGAAGACCTACATGGCTCGTTAGCACCCCTTGAGCCTAGCTGGGTGGATAGTTGGCTAATTCAATAACAGCCGTCTCACCCTGGTTCTCGACCCATTTCAATGTCAAAAACTGGGTTTTCGTTTGCGAGAATCTGCCTACACTACGTTGGGAACAAATGATTTCCCTCCAGCCTGATTTGATTGAGATAATCTCGTGGAATGGTATACTAACTATATATTTGCGGGAAAGAAGTCTATGCTAACAGTTATATAGACTACGGCGAATCCCACTACATCGGCCCGTACTCGGCGCATCACAGCGACGATGGATCATCGCAGTGGGCAGTCAACATGCCTCATGACGCCTGGCGTAACCTGTACAAACCCTATATCGCAGCCTATAAATCTGGGGCAAAAGCCCCTACTGTGGAGGCAGATGAAGTTGTCTATTGGTACCGACCTACGCCAAAGGGCACTGTGTGTACAAATGATACACTCTCAGTACCAATGGGTGCTAGCATGCTCAGTGATAGCATTTTTGTTGCGACTATGTTGACGAGTCCGGCTACGTTGACTGTACAGAGTGGGACTAATGCTCCTGTTAGCATTGATGTTCCAGCAGGAATTGTTACCTCGAATGTGACTATGGGGATTGGTGGTCAATCTTTCAAGGTGACGAGGAATGGGGAGACAATTTTGAGTGATCAGGGGGGTTTGGATGTTAAGGATAGTTGTGTTCATTATAACTTCAATGTTTATGTTGGGTCCATTGGGGTCAGAGATGGATATTAACTATGGAGCATAAGGCTAAACCACTTTAGAAAATGATCGGACTTCTCCCCGCTGATAGGAATCCCTTTTCTTCTTCTTTTTCTTTTTCTCAATTGTTTTGTTGTCTAGAAGCTTGCATTACATTGAATATTCTATACACTTTTCCTTATTTCTTGGAAGATATGGCTCCTCCTTACCGACGAGTTGCTGTCATTGGAGCAGGACCTTCCGGTCTGGCAGCTGTGAGGGCACTTGAACAAGAAGGCTTTGATTATGTCCGGGTATTTGAACGAAAGAGTAGGGTTGGTGGTTTATGGTTAGCATGTCCCGCCAACACCTTTCTGTTTTGGCCCTCGGCCTTTATACCAAACGAACATCCATAGTTCCACCCTAGTTTATTTACTAACCACACGTCTAGGGCTTATGACCCGGAACCAGACCGTTTCCAAGTGAGCCCTCAAAGCGAGGCCACTGAAATTCCTAGTAAACTTGGCCTCAAAACTCCGTGTCTTATGCCGGCGACCTCAGAGCCTCAAGGTCTCCGAGGAGCGGCCTATGATACCCTTGATACTAATGCCGGGGCTGAAACAATGGCCTTCACGGACACACCACTGCCAATGGTCAACTCGATAGTTTCAATAGAAAAGTTCGGCCGAGATAATCCAACTCGCCCGCGTCACGCTGTTTTGCGCTACCTGGAGGAACTATTCATCCCATTTCTACATTTACTCGTGCTTGAAACCACTGTTGAAAAAGCCGTGAAAACAGATGGCCAATGGAAGCTCACGCTTCGGCGTCGGAATGTCCAACACGGAAATGAATCCAAAGATTACTGGTGGGAGGAGGTATTCGATGCATTGGTGGTAGCTTCGGGACATTTTACTGTTCCTAGTATTCCTGATATCGAAGGTCTAGTCGAGACATCTGCCGAGTTTCCGGACAAGTTTGAGCATTCCAAGTCCTGGAGAAATCGGGCCTCATATGTCAACAAGGTACGTCAGGATCGAGACAAATCACTTGCATACTGATCTTGAATAGAAAGTTGTCATCGTCGGCGGCGGCATATCCTCCGCAGACCTTGTTGAAGAACTGCATCAAATCGTCAAAGGCCCGCTTTACGTCTCCCGACGTGGTAACGTGGGTTTTCTCGAAGACGCATGGCGTATTCCCAACGTGATCGATAAATCGACCATCAAACGCATATCCCCTGTTGCTGGTGGCACGGTAGAGTTCCACGATGGAACAAGCGTCAACTTCGACAAGATCATTTTTGCCACGGGATACAAACTTTCCTATCCGTTTCTGCCTTTCCAGGCTGTTACTCCACAGAACAGACTGGACGGATTCTACCAGCACATTTTCCGTATCGGAGATCCCTCCCTTGCGATTATCGGACAGGTGAGTCCGTTAATCCTATTAGCAATGACGTTTGAACATTCACTGGGAATCTGTGCTGACACGAGCGCAGGTCAGAGCAGCCATTAGCTTTCGCATCTACGAGTATCAGGCTGTAGCGGTCAGTCGTTTCCTGGCTGGACGTTCTAAAAATTTGCCCAGCGAAGCAGAACAGGAGGAATGGGTGGAACAGAGAGAACAGTACAAGGGGCCTACTGATCTTTTCCATGAAATTATGCCGGATTTTGCGGAATATTATGGCTGGTTGCGGGAATTCGCCGGCACTGCGGGAAACCCAGCGCAATATCTCCTGCCGGAATTCGAAGATGATTGGGTTCAGAGCGATATAGAACCACTGCTGGCGAAGAAGCAGCATTGGGTGGCACTCCGGGATAGACATCATGCGTTGGATTATGAGAAAATTACAGGGAAACTTGGGAAGAGCTGATCTGAAGAAGTGACAGCTGTGATCTATCACCCAATTCAACAGATAGTTTGAAGGATTTTCGCAGCTCGGGGATTCCCTGACCATAAGAACAATATCCAACCCTAGACCTGGAGGCTATCTGGGCGAGGCTGAAGAATATCCCAAAAGAAAAGAGTAATAAAGTGGCTGTCATGAGGCCCAAGAAGAGAGAACAAGTAGAAGCGAAGCAGCCTCTTATTACTATGAGAGATTGAACAATTGCACATCATATGACCTTCCTTCATTGTGCAGAGCTAGAAAGTAAATCAAAAACAGACATCCATGGATGCCCAGATCATGAAGACGCAAGAAAACACAAATAGATCCCCCTAGAATAGACGCCAGAGCCAGAGCAACCCTAGGTGAAGCTATTTCCTCCTAGCGTTGGTGGCTATGCAATTAGTTATGATCCATTAATAGATAACAAGATCGATTTAGCTCGTTGGGCCAGTAGCACCTCCATTCCCGGTATCCTGGCTGGCGCGGCGATGGAAGGGATGCGATCCAAAATGGAAAACTTTCTTCACAGCATTGGTAATGCTGTTCTTCCTCCTGCCCTGCGGCGCCTCCTCGGGAGAACGATCTGCGTTTTTCTTAGGCACAGAGGCATCATCAGCCAGAACAATAGAAGTGACGGCTGGCTTTGGCGGCCACTGTCCGTCAGCTTTCCAGCCTTGAACCATGGCTTTGGTCAAATGGGCGAGGTTGACGGGGACGGTAGGGGTCATGCCTTGCACGACAACCTTGGTGTAAATTGAAGGATAGATTGCGGGATTAATGGTGGCGCGAACTGGGTTGTCATTGGAAATGAAAGGAGGAGCAACAGGGCAAAGTGGCTCATCAAGCTCTTCTTCCTCCTTCTCCTCTTCTGTTTGATCTTCCACAGCCGGCAAGGTTGGCTGGGTAGGCACGACTGCCGCAAATTTCTGATCGGGGACTGTGATGTTGGTCTCTGACGATGCCTTCCTCTTAGCTCCCTCCTCTGGTGCGGTAGACAACCCTTCCTCCTGATCCTCTTGCTGTCCCGAAGTCAGATCCACTCGATGCTGGAGCTCCTCACTTTTCTCCCGATCTGCGACTGCAAGTGACGTCTCGGTCCGGGCTGCCAGATCAGAGGCGCCAATACCCTCATTTCCCTGACCAGACGAAGTCGCATTATTTTCTCCTAACCCCACGCCATCGGATTGATCTGTTGAGTCTGAATGCGCACCAGCCAGCGCGCGCTTCGCTTCTTCAGCCCGAATCTGACGCCGTGTCTTCGCTCCACACCACGCATCGCGTCTAGCCATCCATACGCGTAGTCCTTCGTTCCATGCCATTTCGTCGTCCATCTGTTGACGACGCTTGCGACGCCGCTCGACACCGGCATCTCCAGGTGTGGAGGTCACTGTAGCTGACTGTCCGTATTCGGCTTCGCTATCTGAGCTCTGTGGTTCAAGTTCCGAGGTGGGGGTGTCGAATTCTCGAACGCGCCATTCGGTCACTTCGCGGTTGTGGCACAGGGTTCCGTCGGCGGACGATGGGGAGGGCACACCGGCTTCAAAATCCCAATCATTGCGGACAACTTCCTTGATGAAGACTTTGGCCTCACGAACTGAGGAATCACGCCCGGCCATCATTTTCGCTCTGAATGTGGGGGTCTCGGGATGAGAAAGTGGGGAGCTGCAAGGTTTTCCCACTCAGGAAGTGCAGCCTTGGAAAAGGTCAAAGCAAAGAAGGGAAGACTCAAAGGACTCGAAAAGGAAAACCAAAAGTCGAAAGTGGCGGGATGATCAGACTCGAATGTCATATGGCACGTGCCCGAATGCGGAGATACAAGCCTTTCCCTCTCCCTTCCCTCTCCCTTCCCTCTCCCTCTCCGCCCTAATTTGATTTCTTTCTTCCTACTTCGCTTTTTACTATAGCAAGATACTTCTTACGTTAGATTCTAGTATATTGGTCACAAACTTATTGAAGGCAATCGAAAAGCGGTTCCCTATCCGAATGGAGTAACGCAAAGTGGTACTATCCTTGTGTCTCGCTCTATACGAGCTGGTTGGATGAGTACGTGGATCTCGCATCATACAATGTCAAACGTATGTGCCCATGCAAATATCTAATTGGGCATTAATCCAAAATCAATATTTCATTTCCAATGCTTCACCTGCTATCACTATTTTTCTAAACTTCACTCCGAAACACTCTCCCGCAATCATTTCCGTAGACCTGTCTATGGTATTTGGTCAATGAACTTCTCCAAGACAACTTCCCATTCAAGATCTTCCGGGCAGTCTGCATCGATAACTAAGACCTTGAGACTAGACACTCCGTTGGATTGCATCCTGCGAAGATAGCTCATGCACTGCTGCAACACAGTTAGCACTTTACGAAATACGAGTTGGAAGACAAATTACCCCGAACGGCGCTTGGCAATTAAGCCAACGGATGAAGAGGATTCTCTTACTGCAGCAAATGCCTAGGATTAGCGACAAAATATTCCGCTACACTCATGAAGTCACTGCAATTTCTTACTGCTTCCCATCTATTCCAAGGTCATGTTTCATGTGGTAGAGGGCATATCGTGGAGCTGGATTGCCGTCTTTGTCAGCTGCATTTGATAGCTTCAAGCGAAATGCATCATAATCATTTTCCAGGGATGTTTCCTCGACTTCTAGGCTTTGGTTGTCATCAGAGACCTTATAGATCATGAACTTGGGTCTAGTGGCTTTTAGCCCTGATCGGAGCTGATCGAATTCAGATATGCATTCAGCTGCGCTGAACAACCTGATGTATATATTAGTGGAAATGTTCATCATGGATTGTTTTGAAACTGTACGGATCCCGTGAAATGTGCTAAAAGCAAGGTGTTAGTACTTGTATCCACTGCTTGTAGCAACTCTACGTACCGACATAGCGCAGTGTGGTCTCTAGTACAGGTTTCTCAAGAAGATAAATCATGCGGTTAGCATAGACTGAGTAGACTGAAGTCTCTGGTGGATGGGAAGTCATGAGAGAAGGGGATAAATGGGCTCCTTTTCTCGCCTTATATCCCTGATCCTACACGAGTTCCGTGGGTTTCTACCTGTTGCCTGATTAGGCTGAGGTATTCTACCTGAAAGGAATGTAAAGGAAAAAAAAGTCTCTCATCTTGATGTAGGAGCCCGGTGAGTGTGCAACATTCCAGCACGATTGCTTCAGTATTGCTTCACTAGGCAAACTCCAACCAGAAAGACTGCGGTATATTTCAAGTCAATTCCAACACTTGCAGGCACTCATCTTGAGTGATCCTTTAGACATGTGTGAATAGAGCTACAAAAGTAACATGTGCAAAGCAAGCAGGCTTGGGATATAGCCTACTTTCACATGATACTAGCAACGAAAGACTATTTTGAAGAGAATGACTATACGGACGAAGCAAAAAACAGCGGAATAATATCTGGGAAGACCACTGAAGACACCACCTGAAATACCGCCGAAAAGATCACTGAAAAGACCACTGAAAAGATATTACAAGGCCGCTTATGCGGCCGACTATTCTTGTATATAAGACCCTGAAAGGATACATAACCTGATACAACAATCCTGCACGCGAGTGGTGTCACACCTGACGATAATGCTGGATGGATTCTGGGAACGACGGGCCAAAGAATGCGCCTGGCGAAAAGACAGGCTGATAAAATTCAAAAAGAACAGCCTTCTATATCGCCTTACCCACCTAGAAATGAAGAGAGATCCTGTCATCCAAAAAGGCATAGCCTACAAGAAAAACTGGCCTTACGATAGGCCCACGTTTGATTCACTCATCACTCAAAAGGGTGCAAATATCGAATCATTCATCGCCCAGGCTGTTGGGGACGCGGTGAACCCGGAAAGGGCATGCGAAGGCTGCGTGAAAGGGAATTGACAGTTCTCAAAATGTGTTGTCGTCCCAGCCCGAAAAGCAATATGATGACTCTGCAAATTAGCACTTCGGTGGTATGAGATACCAAGAAACTCGAATCCCACTGCCAGAGCCATCTAGATCTCCGCCAAAGGGCTATTAACCACATAAATGCGAGGATACAGAACGTCGGAAGGAGGAGATCAGAAGATTGAACAAGGATACCATCTTAATTTAAAGCGTCTAAATAGGAAATAAAGCAAATTTTATTGCCAAGAAATTGATGGCAGTATATACATTTTGAGTAATGGTACAGGTCTATCATATCGCTAAAAGTACATAGGGAGTCCCTCCAGTTCCCCCCAATCCACGTAAAAATAACCCAGTATGCAAGCCAAAAAAACAAACGGAAATCATGTTCGAACACGCGCCGAATCAGCTAAAGTATCACCACCAGCACCAGGAATGAATCCCCATCCAGGACTCTTCTGGCGACGACCCTTCCGATCACCATACTGCTCGTCGAACTTGCGAATCGCCGAGAGCGAAGACATATCCTCACTGATCGAAGCGCTGATTTCTTCCATTCCACGCTCGAAATGCGCACGAGTCAAAATGCGACGCTCCGGGTAGCTATATGGCTCGTCACCGGTGTGCTTGGCAGCAGCGGCATTCTCCTCACGGACACAAGCCAATGCAGCCGCCACCGACAGATTCTTCAAATCGGAGCCAGAATACAGCGGCGTGCGTCGAGCGAGTTCGGCAAGATCAACGGAGGGTTCGAGCTGCTCCTCTTTAAGGTGGATTCTCAAGACTGCTTCGCGGTCTTCCTCGGTTGGTAGATCGACTAGTAGACGGCGGGGAAGACGGCGGAGGACAGCATCGTCTAGATCGAAGGGTCTGTTTGTGGCGACCATGATGAATGCTGAGAGGTCGTTCATGCCGTCCCACTCGCGCAAGAACTGGTTGATCAGTTCGCGGTGGGAGGTGCGGCTGCTGGCTCCGGTGCGCGAGCAGAAGATGGCATCTGCTTCGTCGATGAAGACGACGCAGGGACTGAGCTTCTTGGCAAGTGTGAAAATTGCTTTCACGTTTTTCTCGCCCTCGCCGACGTACATGTCGTACACTTCAGACCCGCTGACTTCGAGGACTGTTGCTCCGCTCTCGCGGGCTACGGCTTTGGCGAGGAGCGTTTTACCAGTACCTGGAGGCCCGTATAAGAGAAGGCCGGGGATCTTGTCCGTGGCGAGAACACCGTATGTAAATGCCTCGGGGCGGATGAGGGAGAGGGAAGTCAGTGTCTTCAGAGCTTCGATGGTCTCGGGAGGCACATGCACATCGTTGAATGTGGTTCGGATGCTTTTCGCGTCAACTACACCGTTAAGCAACTTTTTCTCGTGCGTGTTGCACGTTTTGCGCAAAGAGCTGATCAGCTGTTCTCTGGTCTGTCCTGCTTCTGAATCTTTCTGCTTGGGTGATTTCTCTTTCAGCCATTCATTGGTGACTCGGTCGCTTTTATCCATGAGCTCGATTCCACGTCGGATGTGCTCAAACCCGAGGGGCTCGTTTGCTTCGGCGCAGCCAAGTGCAAGGGTAGAAATCCAATGCACTTGATTGTATGACCAGTACCGGTCCTCGATTCCAGATTGTTTGATAGTTGAAGGTTCCAGTGACCAAGCGCGGTTGCTCAAGATATTATCTTTTACAGGCAGAGCCTGTTCGTGCAATCGGAAGCGAAGCATGCTCTGGAGGTGGCGAATATTGATATCCATGGTGCGCTTCTTTCGGTCTTCTGCGAAGACCTTTTCGGCGTCTTTTGAGCTCATGGCAGGGGTGATGAACAAGGTTTTCGAGAACTGGTCATCGAGAACATTCTGCAACAGACCAGCGCCATCTTGTGAGGGTGAATGGTGGATTTCCTGCGAGGTAGTTCCGATCAACAGAATCTTGGACCCGGCCCCTCTCCGGTCTTGGATGACTTTGTGCAAGAGTGAGATGAATTTGGACCCCTCTCGGGTGTTTTGAATGTCACGGTAGTCCTGGATATGCATAATGATGTCCCGGGTTGGCAAAGGCTTGCTGACTTTCGTTTCAGCATTTTCTACTATTTCATTAAGGACTGGGAGTGCTGGTTGACTTGGCGAGCCGAGGAGCTCGTTGAGTAGTTGAATCCACCGAGCTTCGGCGCGCTGACCACTTCGTGAGGCACCGGCCCCGGGATCCGGATCCGTTTGGTCATTGATCGATCCTCCCAGGAGGGTTTTCAGCCCAAGCCAGTTAGGAAGCGGGATGTCACCCGCCTCTTTGCTGCTCTCGATTGTGATAAACCGAGGTGTGCCAATATCGCCGCGCATACCACGTGGACCACCTGCAAGCTCACTCACGTCATCCTCGCCGTCTCCTTCGGTATCCTCAACTTCCGACCATGAAGGTGGGACGGATTGCCGATATACATCATAGCCGAGAGATCTAATGGGTGAAGTTACCCCGACATCTGCGAGATCTTGCTCGCTGAACAATTGTGCAATGTCCTGGGCATTAAGGGTCACCAGGTCAGTGCCCAACTCGTTGGCAAGCTTCTTCACCACGGCGTCTAGGAATGGTATGCCATCACTACCCGGGTAATGTAGCGCCAGATGTGACTTCTTCACCGAAGGCTCTTTTGCATATTTCGCGGGTGGTAACCGCAAGCCTGCTTTGACGGAGGCTCGCAGCTCTTCCCATGATTCCTCCGCTACCGCATACCGATTCTCTGCTGCCGTGGCTGATTCGTTGGATGAAGATGGGTCAGAATCTCCCCCGGAAGCCTGAACCTCAGTTTGAACCTCCTCCGGCTCCTTTTGTGAGACTGATTTAGTTATCGTAACCTGTTGTAGTGATTGTGTAGGGCGGTTTTCGGAGCTGTGGGACACCTTATTGTGCTCGTAGAACCAGGCGGGGACGGTCGTAGTTGATGGAGAAGTCTGCTGCGCGGACTTTCGGTTCCGCATCGCTCTGCGTACAGCGGATCCGTAGGTTTTAGTGATCGACTTGGCCGACTCGGGGGAGGGAGATGTCGCCGGCGTGCCATTGTCGGATATATTGTCGGTTTTGAGTGAAGGGTCTTCAATGGCATTCCCAGGCACCGTAGATTCGGCGTCGTTAGGGTCTTGGGATGGTGATGCGAGCCATGTTCGTGACAGATGAAATCGTCGCGCGGATAACGGTGCGGAATAGCGGCGGCGAGCAACAAATCGACAAGGGCGGGCAACCGACAGCCGGACCTGTTGCATTGACGAATACATCCGGGACACTGTCACCGGAGCTTTATGTGATATCACCGGGAGTAGTAGATATATGTACCAAGTCGCAAGTGGCGCAGGGTCCCTATCGGGCCGTATGAAGGAGAAAAGACGGATCACGTGATATTGAATTTTCCAGTATTCGCTGCGGCCTGAGGTTCTTCGCATTTATTAAGTATCTTTTCTACGATGTGTACGGAAAATATCATGAGCTCTAATCTCTCAGAATTTACGAACACAATTTCATTTCGCACCCATATGGTTTACAAAGAGTCGGGTTTGCTCTCTTGCGTCGACTGACCGCTCCGTCTCCACCACAACTTATTGGGAGAAGTAGATTTTGTATGGAAAACCCATATAAAATCTACTTCTAGTCTATTCTCAGTTTTTTGGCTACAACATCCAGCGACCAAATGACTTTGACCTTCCTAATATGATTGTATACGGCTATACATATATCCATGGATGGTTTATCTTCAATTGATATTATCACAGTGTTATAGTTAACAAACGATAAGGTCAACCTTGAATTATGCTGAAACTATAATTATATATCTCCATGCCCGGAGTTGTGTATTTATAGGTTGATACCTTAGGACCCCAGCTCTTCCTCCAACTTGAATTAGCATCAAAAAAGGATCACACATGAAAACTACTCAGTCTCGGTGGGTTTCCCCTCTCTCTGGTGGGCGACAACATTTTCTATTTATTGCAGGATAATATCGGAGCGTGACACCCCCTCTAACTATATCATGTCGCTGCCACTCCTCTTCTCGTCCCTCCAACGGGGCAATCCTGGCCACAAGCCGACAGTGCTCCAATGCTAAACCGTCCACCCATCTTCTCACGGTGTCAATGACTTGTTCATTTGTTTTCATGCGGGCGTCATCCATTTCCCTCATTTCTTCTACTCTCTTGACTGCATTTCATCACAACCGTAGGGAGAGACCCATCGGTTTTGTCTCGTATGCACACATGACAACTATTTGTACAAGACAGTTCGGTCAGCGCTGTGAACACCATCCCAGGTGTGGCGTGTGGAGTCCATTTCCCGCAATTCTCTGCACAAGAAGGACATGTAGTGAGCTTACACTGGGCTTCTCATAGTTACTACTGTCTCTACTTTCTACATGTGCAGCTTACAATGCGTGGTTTCTTCAACAGCCTGAAGTCTGGTATGACTTCTGATGCACTAGCATATACCCAGGTAAAGGAATACTACCATTCAACACGTTGATTTCAATTGAGGCACGTATATGCCCATTGGGTGGGACCGGCTCGGGCCTTTGGTTGCTGGAACACTCAGCAACATCCTCTGGGATACCCAACCTTTGTCTGCGTGTTCAAGATATAGTGCTGGTAAAAATGTGATGAAGTGGATTTTGTTGACCTTTTCAGCATGTGGTACACCGGCTCGATTACTTATGAATTTGTGAACAGATAACACCCTCGAACCTACTCGACTTAATTACCCCCTTGTCCAAGGCTCATCCGGGGAATGAACTAAGAACAACATGCAGCTTCTCCAACTGTTGCAGAGTGTGCAGCGCTGATTATCACATTGAAATACTCGAGGTCAATTCACATGATCTAGCTCTAGTCGTCACCAGATGAATTAACTTGGGCACCGGCCCAAGCCCAGAGGATCCCCAATGGAAAGGGCGCAGACAGGTTTTGCAGAGCAGCAGCCTCCACCGTTAGATGAGAATAAACTTCCTAGCCCTCGAATGGCCTTTGAAAAGGCTGTTTCGGGTCACTGGTCAAAAGAAGCCTTAACCTTATCCAACATCTCATCTCTCAGAAACTCGCAATATCGAACTTTGATGAAACGATTCGAATTGGATAGCAGCGTCTGGATTTTGCCCGAACCTCGCAAGGAGTCGGTTGATGCATACACCGAGAAGCAGATGGTCTTCTCAACTCAAATTAACAAAGTTGGCCATGATATTCTCCCCCAGGAATAGATGCCAACAAAGCGTTATTACAACTATTCCTGCGCAGAAATATCGATCTTGCCAGCGGTATGGAATATGCCCAATATTCTCGATATCTGACTTGACAGGATTTCACACTGGCATTTAGATAGCCTCCAGTAAATACAACGATTTTTGCTTCTTTTCGCTCCCTTGGTAAATACTTGCGTAAAGAGAGATATTCTAAGTTATTCAAATCAACGCTCAATGGTTCATCGAAACCGAGGCAATCTATACTAGTTTTAGCGAGATTTAGCTACATGTTTCATGGATGTAGGTGCAAAGATGGTCCTCTATCAGAGTATCAACCTCAGAAGCCATCTATCTGCATCGGAGTATTACGACCCAAGTATAGCTCTACTATAAGAGTTCATAAAGCATACTTGAGATACGAGTATAAGCTACAGGAGAGAAGGAAGTATTTTTTGAAAAAAAAGGTTTCATTGAAGTATTCCACAAATATATATCCGGACAACACATAATTGTAATGGCGAATTGATCATCAGAAGGAAGGCAACGGAAATCTCTACATGGTTTTGCGCATTCAGAACAGGTCTGTGAGTTTACATCCGAGAATTTTTCGTCACTTGATCAATTCGCCAGTACAACAGGCGATATCCTTTTATGCATGGTGGGTTTGCTTCGATGTGATTCTGTATAGACTGGGAACAATATTAGTGACTTGTTCGAAACAAAACATGGTAATGATGCATTGCAATATAAGAGTTCTCAGACAATATGTACTGGCAAGTAGCAGACCGACCGGGAAGGAAGGTCCGAATTATCTCCGCATTATCGATTTGGAGGGTAAGAAGTAAAGGGTTTTGTCATCCTTGAACGGATAGGAAGTGCAAATGCAAAGGGAAGAATGAGAAAGGATATAAACTCACGTTAAGCACATGGTGTGAGCACCTGATCTATCAGGTTAGTGGCGATATTGAGGCATCGTAAGATACCCGTACTATTGGAATTGGGTCATGCTATCCTCAAAAGTCATGTGCAATCTGCATCAAGAGAGCCCAGGACATTTGAGGAACATAGAACCACCAAAGCCAAACGTAAGAGATCTCAATGAAGACTATTCACAAAAGTCATGTCTCAAAAGATGGCAATCTGCAGTAGATACCAAGTGAGAAGGACTCTTTTGAATAGCCCTCACAAGATCTGTACCATATGGAAGAAGAATGAAAGACAAAGAGGAAGATGAAGAAGAAGAAAAGAAAAAAAAAAGTTGTGAAGAAAAAGGCACAGAATCATCACGTGATATCTACATTAGGAATAGCGTGTTATTTCAATCAGAGCAGGAGAGAACAGAAGGAAAAAAAGCCTCAAAAAGGGTAAAAAAAACAAAATAGATTGAATGGAGCTTATACTTTAAGATCTATACAATTTCCCACTCTTTTTTATTTTATTTCTTCACACTGTTTCTCTCTGGGATCGCGTTGTCGTCTCGGTTAGATCCTCCACCCTACGGACCCGGATCCTCCGTCCCCAGTTCTCTCTCTCCCACCGGGCGATCATCCTTAAATCCTAACTTGGGCGTTCGCAACACCCTTAGCCCCTAATATCAGAGGATCCCTTACTATTTTGTGAGTTGTGCTTCTTTGATATATTCTTAGAGCCCAGCCCCTCCACCTCCCTAGCCCCCCGTCACTTTTAGCCTTTCCCCCCCCAACATCTTCTCCTCTTATCACTCCACACTGACCGCTCAAGTTCTCTCAGAAGGAAAAAACACTCATTGCGCGGGTGAGTGACTTGGCCAGGAGGCCCCCGATCGATACTTCAGCACCTCGCGTCTGCTGAATACCGATCTAAGTCGCTCTCGCTACGTCTTGGCCCATCCCCGAACGCTAAAAGCGGCCTGTTGTCTTTCCACTCCAGTCGCGCTCCACGCCACGTTTCTCCCACCACCCTTTCGCCATCGTGAGCGATCATTTTGAAGTCCCCCATTTGTGGTGACTTCGTCGCTCAGCAATGATGATGACGCAGCCGTTTCCTGCCCACCAAGGCATGCCGCAACATGGGTTTCCCCCCGGCCACCCAATGGCCGCGCAACATCCAAATGGACACCCGGGCGCTGGAATGGTGCAGCAAATGCATCCAGGTGTGTCTGCGCCGGGAGGACCTCAAGTCAGCCAGGCGGGTCCGATGATGGGGGGCATGCCTCCGGGCGCTGGGACAGCTGGTCCTGGTGGCCCCGGCCCAAACGCCCATGCCCTCTCCCATCTGAATCCCGCGCAGGCGCATATGCTTCAGAACCCCCAATTCCAACAAAATTGTTAGTATTCAACCCCCTTGTTACTTGACGCGATGGATTGCGAGTGATGTTATGGAACACGCGATTGGCGCCCTTTGCGGTGACTTATTTCCCCGCTATACCTGTATCTCTTACAGACGTCTTTCTCGATCGCATACTTACATCCTGGTCAATCTATAGTCGCGAACAATCCCCATATATTACACCAGCAACAGCAACAGCAACAATTAATGCGGCAACGCATGATGCTTCAACACCAGCAGCAACAACAGCAACAGCAGCAGCATCAACAGCAGCAACAACAGCAGCATCAACAACAGCAGCAGCAGCAACAACAGCAACAGCAGCATGGTCTACCCGTATCAACACAAGGTCTTAATGCTGCTCAAATAGCCGCAATGCCTAATGGCACACAAGGACTCAATGCTGCTCAAATGGCTGCAATGCAAGCGAACCATGGAATGCGACCCGTCAATATGATACAGCTTCAGCAGCAAATGCCACATGGCCAGCCGCCAAGTATCCAACAGCAACAGCAATTTTTCGCTATTCAGCAGGCTCAGCAGCAGGCCCAACAAGCTCAGCAGGCTCAGCATGCTCAACAGCAGGCAAATAACGGGCAATCAGGCCAGCATACCCCGCAGCGTGCATCGGCACAACCCCCGAATATGCACGAACAGAGTGCCACTCCACAATCGCAGCATGGCGGACCGGGAGGCGGCACACCACAACCCTCTCAGACCTCTCAGCCACCATCCACTCAACCCCCGCAATCACAGGGCCCGCCTCAAGGCCAGGCAACTCCTAACCCCCCATCGCAGCAATTGCCGCAGTCTCAACAGCCAGGCCAACAAGGACAAGTGGGTCCGCAGCCACAACCTCCTCAGGGTGCCCAGGGCCAGCAGCCGGGTCCTCAAAACCCACAGATGACGGCCCAGGAAGCTCAGATGAAAGCACAGCAGCACCAGAATGCTCTTATGATGCATCAGCAGCAACAACAGCAAAGGAAGAACAACGCAATATTGACCATTCATGCCTATGCCGAGCATTTGGGCAACTTCCAACCCCGCAATGAAGCACAGGATCTTCTATATTGGCAGTCGTTTGTCGATCGCTTTTATTCCCCTGTAGGTGTATTGCGGCAGGGTGTTTGGGACAACGCGATTGGGTCTAAACAATTCGAAATTGCGACCCCTGCACTTGCACGTTATTATTTGACCCAATTCACTAGCGGGATTAGTCAAATCCAGATGGTGGTGGAAGGTGCTCGCGAGCGGGAATCCCACAATGGAGGACATTACGTGGAAGCCCCGAGATGTTCATTCATCTATTGGTTCAAGAATGAGTGCCAGGTACATCTCCCATCGCATGATCCTTTTATTTTCAGCTTGTTAATGTTCATCTCTCTAGCTTTTCACCAATGGCACGCTGCGCGCGCATTTCGATATGCACAACAAGCTCGAGATGCTCGACGTCAACGTCGTCAGCCACAATGAGTACATTCCGCGGTCTTTGTTATTGGCTATGGAGGCGGATTCCCAAAAGCAAAGTCCAAAGGTTGCGAAGAACTCAAAACGTGCTCAACCTAAACAAGCACTATCATTAGTACCAGAATCAAACGTGACTGCCAATGGTGTGCCTACCCCAGTGATGGGATTCATGGAAGTGGCTGAAACCATTTCTACAATGCAAATGCTCTTCCAGTTTTCTCAGGCAAATCCGCAGCTATCGCCTCCTGACGCTTTGCGGAATCTGGTCAATACCCTCCAAGCGCAGAATCCTAATCCAGGATTTGTGTCAACTCCCATGCCCATGAACCAGGGCATGAATCCAGCCATGAACCCGGGCATGAATCCGGCTATGAATCCGGCTATGAACCCTAACATGAATCCAAACATGAATCCGGGCATGAATCCAGGCATGAGTCCGGGTATGAATCCAGGCATGAGCCCGAGCATGAACCCAGCCATGCATCCTGGCATGAATCCCGCGATGCACCCAGGCATGAGTCCGGGCATGAATCCGGGTATGAATCCTGGCATGAACCCAGCCATGCACCCAGGCATGAATCCGGGTATGAATCCGGGTATGAACCCAGGCATGCAACCCATGCAAAATGTTCGAGGACATAGCATGGGGGCTCCATCCCAGTTCGCCTCGCCGGCCATGGCTCATCTTGGTCTTCCCGGGCAGCAAGGCTCGCCTCATCTGACTGGTTCAGCACATGCGAGCCCAGCCCAAAGCAATCTCGTCGGTCCCCCCGGGATGCAACCGCCAATGCAGCCATCCCCAGCTGGTGTGAATAACAGTCCAAATGTAGGTGGCAAGCGTCGCCGGGCAAGCACCGTCAAAATGGAGTCCGAGGATGGTGGTGGAGTCGAAGCTAACGGCGCTCCGCAGCAGGGCTCAGCGAAAATAAAGGCTAGCCCTCGGGTGCCGAAGCGACAAAAGGGCGCCGCCGCCTAATCATGTTGGGAGTTTTGGGTTTTCTTCCTCTTGCTTTCATTTTCCTCGCCGTTTCAAGCGGTGCAGAACCGGCGTACGACTGGATACCTGGGCGAGGCATGTCGCGCCCCCTCTTGTTTGTTTACTCATCATCTAGGTCTCTCATCCCATTGAAAGATCTATCTTGCTTTTTTTGGCACATGACGACTCAATTCACAATCGACGGGATTTAATTAGTGCTTGAGGCCCCCATCTTCCTTGGCTTGGAGGTGGCATCAGGCCTCATCGATCCTGCTCAACTCCGACCTAATGTACTCTATCTTCCTTTCAGCGTTTCCTTGGTTGGCTCGGGATCATTGCCTGCCCTTGCATGTTTTCTTTCTCTTTCCCGTTCGGTTTTTCATTTTGATCCTTTTGCCATCCATGTCTGGGATTCTGACATCTTTTTTTTGGACTGGTCTTTGTTTAGGCTTTTGCCCATTTCTGCTTTCTTGGCAGTCTGTTCATTCCTTCTGAACAGAACTATTGATATCCGTGTTTGGCGAATGATATGGCGTTCGGCTCCGTTTCTTTGGGGACTACGTCTGCGTGCATAGGGGTGTTCCATGTTCCAGTTGACATCTCGCCCCCCTCGGGGCTTATCCTCTTTCTGCTGCTTGACGAATCCATAAATACCTGCTTTCCAATCATGCATCGTAGCTTGTACACTTGAACGTATGTTGAAGCGTCAATGGCTACATATGAACGGTTTGGGTTGACATTCTCTTTCCAGACATATTTCACTACATATTTAGCATTATAATCACAAATCTCCAAATATTAGAATTTATAGAGTATGGAAGGCCGAGCGGCGAACTCATCGGCGAATTGATAATAGCATTTGTTATCATATCAGTTCCCCACACTGTCTATCAAGGGATAGAACTGCCCCTCACCTGGACTTTTCTTTCTTTCATATTCACATCTATCTAGGTATCTTAGATTAACAATGGCACACTCTCACTCCCACGACGCTGGCATTGACCACTCCCACGATGACCCCTTCAACGGCCACGGCCACTCACACGATATCCTCGACGGTCCAGGCTCCTACGTCAACCGCGAGATGCCCCTGATCGAAGGCCGAGACTGGAAGGACCGTGCCTTCACTATTGGTATCGGTGGGTATGTATATAACTTCTCATTACATTACAACCTATTCACCCGACGATCCCTTCAAATCACCATAGACGAATAGCTGATAACTAACACCGCGAACAGACCCGTAGGATCAGGCAAGACAGCCCTCATGTTGCAGCTAGCTCGCGCACTTCGAGACGAGTATAATATCGCCGCAGTGACCAACGATATCTTCACAAGGTAGGAAAATACCCTAACCCCACCTACCAACCCCACATCCAAAACAAGACAACTTATACCTGTATGCCGCACACATATCTCCAATGTCATCACTAACCACCCACAAAACAACAGAGAAGACGCAGAATTCCTAACCCGCCACAAAGCCCTCGCACCGTCTCGCATCCGCGCCATCGAAACAGGTGGATGCCCGCACGCCGCCGTGCGCGAAGACATCAGTGCGAACCTGCTCGCTTTGCAGAAGCTGCAGAAGCAGTTCTCGACGGACTTGCTGCTCATCGAGTCTGGGGGTGATAACCTTGCCGCGAACTACTCGCGTGAGCTGGCTGATTTCATCATCTATGTGATTGATGTTGCGGGTGGTGATAAGGTCCCTCGTAAGGGTGGACCAGGAATCACTGGGTCTGATCTGCTTGTTGTGAACAAGATTGATCTTGCCGAGGCTGTTGGGGCTGATCTTAGTGTTATGGAGAGGGATGCGGCGAAGATGAGAGAGGGGGGTCCGACTGTCTTTGCGGTTGTTAAGCATGGGAAGGGAATGGATCATATTGTTAATTTGATTATTAGTGCTTGGAAGGGGAGTGGAGCTTATGATGTTAGTTTGCAGAGGTGGAAGGATGGGGCTGTTAGGGGGTCTGGGAGTGTTGATGAGTAGATGTTTTGATGGTTTGGCATCTCAAGATTTTGGATAGATTTAAGAAAGGAATACGAAATGGAAGAAAGGGTTAGACAAGTCTAATAGTTCAATATATTCAGCTGAAAGATAGTACACACGTTAACTGCTTTTTCCAAATACAAACATATTCCCCGAGAACGCCTGGAATGCAGCTGTCGCCAAATCTCCAATATGTCAAAGCCGCGTGTGGGCTGGGTATCTGGTTTTGGGCAGAGGGGGGTTTGTTCCTCTACTGCTCCACAAGATGTCACACAAAGAAACAAAGTGATCTCATTTGGCGAACCGAGACAGAGCTGGCCCAAGTTCCTGACGTTCCTGCTTGAGCTTGTCCTTTGTGCGAGCAAGATACTCCTTGCGCAAGGTCTCGGCCTTGACACGCTTCTCGTCGATGACGTTCTTTCCACCCTTCTTGCGGAGATACTTGCGCAGGGCACTGTTGCGACCACGGCCGCGGTTCTTGATCTTCTCCATGTGATCCTCGGGCTTGTGATCCGGGTTGCGCTGCTCCTGATACTTCTTGTCGTTGATGGTATCGAGCTTTCCAATGATGTTGGGGTCGAGCGAGATCATATCCGGCTGCAACTTGGTGAGCAGCGAGTGAACCTCTTGCTCCTGGCGCTGTCGAACGTTCTCGTAGGGGTTGGCTTCCAGTGAGTCGAAGTTGGGCTCACCAGCACCGGGAACGATGACACTGGCGAATCCTTGGTCGTGTCCTACGCCAAGAATATCTTCGTATGGGCACCAGCGCACGTTCTCGATGCGCTGTCCGTCTCCACCCCACGCCATGTATGGGCTCTGCACTTTGCCTTGGTCGGCCTGCGCGGCGTCGAAAAGTCCACGCCATACGCTCATTTGTGTGCCCCAGCCGACTGCAGTCAGGCCTCGGTCACTGATAGCCACAGATGCGCCGGGCTGGTAGCATGAGTATGAGTGCACCTCGCGATACATGCGGATATCCCACACATTCATCTTTTGGTCCTGGCCTGTAGAGACCATGTAATGGCCTGTGCGATCCATTGCCAGTGACCGGACAGGTCCCCGGTGCACGAGCGCCTTTACGAGAGGGGTTTGAGAGTTGGGCGACCAAAGTGTCACGGTTCCATTTTGGTGTCCGACATGGAGGATGGCATTCCATGGGTTCTGTGCGAGAGCGGTGGGCTTACCCAACCGTGTAGATAGCTCAGCGACGGTCTGACCGGTTGAGGTATCTGTGTATTTGAGGTGACCGCTCATTTGCTGTGAAAGGGCTAATTAGCGGGGACGTCTATGGAACCGAAGAATCAAGGATACTCACAGCGCTTGCGAGGAGGAAATGGTAAGGAAGGAATTCCAGGAAGAGAGGTTCCAAGTGCTTGCTCAGACAATGGATCTCAGTTCCCTGGTGGTCGTAGATATAAGTGTGCTTCTTCTGCGCCACAGCGAAGTACTGGTTGTTATGCAGCCAGCGGGCATCCCGCACAGTCTCGTTCAACTGTAATTCGCAGCCCAATTTTCCCTCGCGCCAATCCATCGTCGCAACATGTCCCTTCCGTCCCGCCAGCAGCAGGTCGCGTCCGTTCCGAGAATAATCCATGCGGTAGGGGCCCATATCGGGAAGTTTCAATTCGAATCCTTTCTTTGCGGTCTCGATTCCAACGCTCTCCCGAATCTCATCCTGACGAACTTTGTATGTCTTCTCGAGTTCACCTTCGGGTTCGAGGAATCCTTCCGTATGCTCGAGCAAAATCTCTGCATCCTTGGCTTGAAGAATAGCCTCCTTGTGCTTGAATTCCTGCCTCTTAAGATTTGCGCGTAGCTTCTTATCCCGCGCACTCTTCGCATTGACACCTTTGCCTCGTCCGTAGGTTTGCTCGGCTGCTGCGAGTCTCATCTTGGCTTCGTGGTCGCCCTTGGCGACAGCCATGTTCGAGGCTGAGTCGGCCATTTTCTGGCAATTTCTCGAGTTCGTTTGCGAAAAGAACTCAGGAAAATAATAAGGCGGACGAAAAGCGTAGCTTCAAGAAAAAAAGTGTTTTGCCCAAAATTTCGCCAAGATTTGCGCTCACCGCTCGCTTATCCTCCACTGGCGAATTTTGATTTCTTATCGTTGCATCTTTTTTTTTTCTACAGAGGCACATTCGTTTTTTACTATATATTTGCCAGTTATAAATTGCACTGGCTAGATATTTGTCGAGTTACCTCTGACTCGCTTCAATCTGGACTCCCTCCCTTTCCGATTCAAAGGGTCTAACGCCAATATGGCGCCTGCCCAGACGGTGCACCACCACCGCTCCACCACTAAGGTTTCGCACAAGCCCTACAAGAGCAAGCATGCCTCCAAGAGCGCCTTGAAAGATCAGGCCAAAGGTATGATTTTTGAACTCAAAACATGATAAATTATGCAAATTTAACGCTTGTATCATTTTAGGCAAAATCGAAGGAGATGAGCGGGGCGGTCGTAAGACACCCCAGCAACAGCTCAAGACGAAACTCGATCGCCGTAACACCGCCCGCCAAAGACAGGCATTGAAGCACCAGGAAAGATCCCAAGCTACCAGCATCTTCGCCGGCCAGAACGGTGCTCCCCGTCATGTCGCAATCGTCCCCTTGTCCCCCGATGTTGACCCCGCCGCCGCTATTGCTTCTATCAACGAGAGTGTCGATGTTTTGACTAATGTGTCGCCTGATGGACCTACCCGTACCCGCATTGAGCGATTCCGCCAAAGCGTGCAGTACATTCCCGCCAAGTATGACTTGATGAGCGCTCTGGATGTGTGCCGTATGGCCGACTTTGTCATCTTGGTCATGTCGTCTGAAGTGGAGGTTGATGAGGAGGGCGAGATGCTGTTGCGATCGATCCAAGGACAGGGTATCTCGAATGTGTTAGCTGTCGTGCAAGGTCTCGACAAGATCGATCCCCCTAAGAAGCGCCCCCAGGTGGCTAATTCGTTGAAGTCTTTCATTAACCACTTCTTCCCTAATATTGAGAAGGTTATGTCTCTCGACT